AAAGGGTCTCCGGTTCTCTACACTCACCATACGAAATACAGCAGCATTAAGCTACTATTTCACGCTGGTATTCTGTGAGAGCGTGGTCCTTCCCCGGTCGAGCCGACCCATTCGTGCTACAACTATACTACTAATATAACTGCAGCATGGCTCTACCACGTATAGAATATATATTGTGATAAAATAAAACAATATAATGATATAATATGAAACGTAAATTTAATGAAATAAACTTAATGCTATAAAAAACGTAAAGTAGAAAATTTATTAATTACAAGGAGTAAAACTTACACAGTAAAATGGAAAAAAAAATTAAGACATTTTCATCATTTCAAAAACAAAATATTCATTGAAATATTTATTTATTTATTGTCCTGTAAAATGCAAATATTTATTTAAAAGTTGTCTTTTTGATACTTTTTGTGCTGAGGTTTTCATTAAATGGTGAAGGCGAATATCTGTATACCTTTCTATAATACATTTTGTTAACAATATTACATGGTTTTCCATTGGTCCCTGATCAAATTGATGAAAATCGATTTCTCTGAATACTTCAACGCCAATGAAATGACGTAAGGCTCTGGATGTTATCTGCTTTTTAAACTTTTCAAAATTTTTGACTGATTGAGCATCTACAGTAAAAGTTTTAAGAATTGATTCAATTTTTTTACAAATCAAAATTACGTCAGCGCTAGGAAAAATAAGACCACCGTTGTCTTTCAACCGTATCAATTTAAAATTGTCTTTAATAGCACTGGAATTTAAAAGAGCCGAAATGCAAGTTTCGCATTTAATTTTGTTAAGTAAAAAATGTACCACATTTCCTGCTATGTAGCTTACTACTTCCAAACTAAATTCTGTCATGATATTTTCCGTTTTCAAAACTTCATCAAATTCTTTAATATATTCTTCATTTTCCATTTCTTCTTCAATCATTGGTGATAAAGTAGATTTATTCATTTTTTCCACTGATGAAGAACAAGTCAAAATTGAAATATTTTCAAGTGCCATGCAATTACCACTTTCAAAATTATTCAATTCTAGTTTGACTATTAGTTTTTTATAAATAGCCATGAAATGTCGCGCTGTCGGGTTGTTGTTACACCCACCATGAGCTCTTATATTACCGAATAACAACTCCAGATGATCTTGAGACAACTTATAGGTGGGCAAATATTTTAATTTTTTTTCTTCTTCGACAAGCCTTAGGTATAAACTTTTGACACTATTGATGCATACCACAAGACCTAAAAACCCGGTTTTTTAGGTGATTTAATTATTTCCGTTTCGTTATACATTTTTAGGTCTTTTATATATGCTTCCATTTTGTTTAAAAAAAATGAACACCTTATCCTTGTTTTTGAAATTTATGGGTTCCTTATAGTGTAACTGATTAATATTTCGTTTATTTAAAATATCAAACAAGTCATTAAAATTTTGCAAAAAAATCTACTGTGCCTTGAACATCGGTGAACCCCGGTTGGTTAGTTTTGGAACAAAAAATTAAAGCTCTAGCTACACTACTGCTCATCAGTTGTGTCGCCAGCTTAACTTTCATTTTTTGGTTGTAGAAATAAATATGGCGGCGTCTTAACTTATTTGCAAGATGCAAATGTTCTTTTTCCTGTAGATGGTTAAGATGGACCAGGTACGACCACTTTATTAATCTACCAAAATTGTCTTTTAATGTTGCGCTTGATTCGAATGCATTTCTTACTAGTTTTAACATGTGGCAAGCATCCAACAAAACGTAAACTGGTTTTTGTGAAACGGGATGGCTAAAACAAGTTTTTATATTATTAATGTCAAAAGAGCATCCAAGAATTTTTGCCATTGTAAGATTAGCAGGACAACCATCAAACGTCAGAGAAACAACTTCAACGCCAGTTGTGCTTAAAAGTTCAGGACACTGTTTCACTAGGTTTGACTTTTGTTCACCTGTTACACCGTCTGTCAGAAAGTATCCGACAGGTATTTTCCATGCCCCATTAATTGCAGTAACAAGGAATACTAAAGCCTCTTTAGCTTCACACAAATTATCCCCACCATCGTTTAAATTGTTTCCGAAATTAACATAACCATGCATACGTTTCCCATCCCATTCGATGCGCTGACGAATCGCCATCTCATCCAACACCAAATTACATAATATTGGATATTGTGTAGATTGAATTTTAGATTTTATAGCATCAAGGGACTCTGTAGTAAAACCAGGTTCTGCGTCAAAAGATTGATACCATTTTTTAATGGTCCTGGGATGAGGCAAGCAGGTCTCAAACTTGCGCCTTACATAAAGGTATGCCTTCGGCGAATAAAAATGTAGCGTCATCGCAAAACTCCGAAGGCTCGGTGAGTATTTTTCACGTGTTAATTTTTTAGATTTTAATTTTTTTCTCACATCTTTTAAATAACTCTTTTGTGTTCACGTTGGTGTTTTCTAAAAAAAAGGCTTGGTCGCTATTAATTAATCTGTTTGATTGTAATTCCTTTATTATTTCTTGCAACTCTATAATTTTTTTTCTATATCTCCGGTTTTTACCTTGTAAACATTTTATTTTCGATCGTTGAGTTTTTATAACATTTTCCTTTTCGTTTATAATACGTTGCATTTTTCGTTTTCTGGGAGTTTCCATTATGTCCGGATCTAACTGTATCGCTCGCTTAATAGATTTGGATGACATAGAAGGTGACGGAGATTTTGATGGTGTTACGTTAACTTGGATATCTGATACCTGAAATAACATGTTTGTTAACTTAATAGTTACCTTGCAAAAAGTAACTATTAAGTTACTAATAGCTCTACATCTATCCTCTATTACAAATCAAAATGTAGATGCGTTGTCACCCGTGAGAACTAAGATGGAATGCCTCATTTCCAGTAAAAAGGGCGTCCGGCCACCTGCACTCACCAAGCGAAACGCAGAGGTAAACCGCTACTTCACGCTGGTTTTCTGTGAGGTCGTGGTACCACCCCGGTTCAAGCCGGCCCATCCGTGCGACAGCAAGACTGACTTAATTTCAGTATAATTACACAAAATGTGGTAAAGCATTTCGTTTCCGAATTATATAGTATCAAAAATGCACTAGTGGCGCCACATAATTTCTTTACTGTTTTGCATAATAGAGCCACGGGATGGTTTGTATTTTACTAAAATACTTTATTTATTTAAAAGATACTTACATTTTCAGAAGTTGTCCAAACGTGAATAGTCGGATAAGCATGATCCAAAAGAACACGGCGTTTTCTTGTAGGATTAAAATCCTGTTCTTGAAAATGTGCTGAACATATTTTGCTATGTTTAGAAGGAAACCAATTTTTTTTCCCTGTTGCCAAAATCTATTTTTCCTTAACTTCTGGGTTTATCGGAAAACTAAAAAAAAATATAAGAATATTGCATTAGAACAAATATTTATTGTTAAATAAAACTTACACTTTTTATTTAACAGCAAAATTTATTTCTAAAAATAATCCACTAGAATTGATTATACAAGGCATAGAATATCGATAGCGTCGATAAACTAAAATCTAAGCACATCCTTAATTGGCGTCTGGGATCAGCGGCCATACTACGACGCGTTGAAGGGCAAAGTATCGTTCAATAAAATCGATTTAAAAATGTATTATTTTACTCACCAATGATAAGAAATTCCTTTAGAAGAACAATAACCCTTTCCTGAACAGTTTGAACAGTTCGAAACACTGCAATAGACCATTTTTAACCACGTGCACCACGACTAACACTTGACGACTGCTTGTTTCGAACTGAGTCACGAAATTCTAGTAGTTGGCTTTTAAGCCATATACACGGCGCGCGTTCCCGGCTCGTATAACATTTCTACTAGCTATATTAGGTGTTCTGTGGGTAAGGTCAATAAAACATATTTTTTAAACCTTCATAATTTTGGCACCACTTGGATTTTTTTTGTATTTTTATTTGAGCGCCTGATACCTATGCTATTAGGCACTACAAGATTCTTCACTCTTTCTGTGACACCCGACATATGTTTTAAAATATAATCCACGGTTATGTTTTGTGACGGGAAGAGCTCCATGCAACTATTTGTTACGTTTTCGTGGAGATTTCAAAAAATATATTTTAATGCTTTTTTCTGCTTTCATTTTCGTAATTTTATTTATACTTCTAATTCACAATATCTGTCAGAGCGGACAAGTTATTTTAGATTCACACGTTCGACAGTATTTACTGTGACGGACCTTTTTCACAAAAATTTAATTTTTTTATAATGGGCAAAGCTCAAAATAATGAAAATAAATTTTATTGAAACATTTGATGTAAAAAGTAATAGAATCTAATACAGAAGCAAAATTAAGTTTAAACCTCCTATGAAATTTAAAACTTTCCTCCTCAGATATTTTCATTATACGTTGATTTGGGCTAATTCTTGTTTGCATGAATAAGCTAATAAATAATAAATAAAATAGTGAAAATATTAACTTGTAGTTATTGTTATTATATTTTTTTGCTTATCAGCCCGTAAAAGTCTTAGGCTTGGCCTGTCCTGTTGTATGGAGGATTTGTGCCACAGAGCACAGTCCTGAGCCACCTGCATCCATCGACTTCCTGCATGGCGTTGTTTACTCCATCTAGTGCATATACTATATTATTGTAATTATACTTCATTATTTACAAGTGAAACACTCGCTATCTATCGCTACTAAGCAATCGCTACACTTTTCTGTGCCATACCTAGATGTTTTTTTATACCTGGTAGAGCCATACTGCGGCGATATTATGGTTGTAGCACTAATGGATCGGCTTGACCGGGGAAGAACCACGCTTTACCAGAATGCCAGCGTAAATTAATACCGCTGTGTTTCGTATGGCGAGTGTAAAGATCCAGAAACCCTTTTCACTGGAAACGAGGCATTTCATCTTAGAGTGACAACGCATCTGCGTTTTGATTCTTAATTGGGGATACAAGTAGATGTCTATGGGCTACATATATTTGCTATCGTTACGTCAAAAACTATCAGCTACCTGATAAACCGAATGAGGTGTTAGGTAATATAGCATTGTCAGGCCAAGTTATCTCAGACTCGTCAAACCTTAATCGTAGTAAGGCAATGTCATGTGCTCTCGTGTACCTGAAACCACACAAATAACTTTTAAATCCATCGTAAGTCCGCTAGAAAACTAGTGCGCCGTGCTGCTCCAGTGCATGTTGGCGAATATCACATGTCGTAAGTTATTCCTCAGAAATGCAGGTTTCCTCACGATGTTGTGTGTTTCCACCGTCAAGCAAGTGGACAATCCAATTGAAAATTTGAAACTGCAATAACCAATTTTATTGGTACCGGCGGCGCTTGAACTTGGGTTGTTTACGTACTGTGAAATTTACTGCGAGCGTTATACATTCCAATGTCATAGTTAACGACGGATACTTATAAGCAAGCTTCAATAGATTCGCGCACTCTCTTGAGATACTGATCAAAGTGCTTACTACAAGTTCTGTTAAGTTCAGGAGTAACAGAAAGAACATGGAAAAACATTGATCAAAATAATGATGTCCTTCTGAATGAATTTCGGTCACGACGGCCAGACACAACGGAGACTAGCAACTTGCGCAGGACAGAATTACAGCACACGAGTGTATGTGCAAGCACAAGTTCACTCTCTGATCCCTCACTCTCATAGTCCGATGGCTCGGTAATCCAACACGACCGGAGAAAGATCAGGCGTTGGACGAAGCGTTTTACGTGCTTTCCAAATTTCTTACTTTGGGCTGCTACTGAAAATCTTTCGACAGAAAACCCAGTAACTGATATTGCCTCGAAACGGCATTCAAACCCACGACTACGTGATCAGCAATCGCGTTTACGGCCAGTAGACCAAACTGACTCGTTGGTCTAGTGGTCATATACGCGACTGTCTATAGATCAAAATACTTGGCGTAATTTTTTTATATTTTAAAACGAAAGTTGCCGAAAGTTTTCTTAACGGTTTGTTTTAAACCCAACATTATTTGGAGCTGAGCACCCATGGCGCAAGAAAACGATTCTTTGAAATCTATCTCCGCCGTAACCCGTAGGCCAATTTACATAATTTTTTCGGCAATATTTGCAACTCAACGCAGACAAGTTTGTAAACAATAAAAATCTGAGTTTCAGTTTTTTTTTCTTTTACTAACTGCGGAGCTCCAATAAATTAGCGAATTGATTAGATGAGCTGATTAATTTACATCTGCGCAATGTCACACCATTTAATAGAATCTTTTGTTGAAATATAGATAGTTATGACTTTAGACTTTTACTCCGATCCGTTATGATGCTAGCAAAAGGTTTTACCTTTGCATCTGTTTCGGCCTTAGTATTATGATGACGAAAGGGAAACGATAAAATTTTTTAGTTGATTTCCCATGTGAAATTATCAACTATTTGCGCGAACATGAGATCGGAGTACATGAGATCGGAGTAATGTATATAATAGAGACATATAAAAAGATCAGATGAGTGACAAAACAAACGTTACTATAAAAATATATAATGCACAATAAGTAATTATAGTATTTTACAATGCAAAAATCAAGACAGCACATGGATCTAAAATTGTTAGACCGTTTATGAAAGACAGTCAATAGAGAACATGGAGTTTTCATTGATATTTTAGTGTCTATGTAAGAGCAATATAATACCGTACGTATGTATATAATATCCTACGTACAATCAACCTTTAAAAACTCCTACATATTACAGAAGGAATTTCACTTGACGGATGGTAAATAGTAACTAATATCCTTCAGCGAGTTGAATTATGTTTTAATGGAAGCTTATTTCAAGATGTAGCCAATCTTGTCTGTGACACTTCTGACGTATGATAGTAGTATCAAAAAACATCCTACTTTAGTGAAATTGGCTGGTTGCTACGCTCTGCTTCGGATCCTATATAGTTAGTAAAATTAAATCCCAACTCAAGCATACCACTGAAATACTTTAAGATACGAGTTCTTTAAGCGTAAATCGGACTAGAACTTAATAATTTTCAATTGAAGGTAGCCGTGGTTATACGACTCTGGGATAAAACACACGAATAAATCGGTAAGAACTAATTTCATTCAATCGGTGAAATTAATTAAATATAGTTTTTCCTTTGTAAACATAATAAAAATAAAATAATGTGTTAAATCATACTTGTTGTAACAGGGATGCTTGATGATTTCCATCACACTGGCGTCTGGTTTTGAATTACTCGCAGCGTTGCACAAATTATTTAATTTTAATTCATATTGGTGTGGTTCCTGAACGCAATGGGCAGCTGTGATAGCTACTTCCGGCGATATAATCACAGCGCCGCACAAATGTCGGAAACTAGCTGCGTATCTCAACGATGCTACGCGGATTTGGGAACCTTCGCAATTATAATTATAAATGTAAAAAGTTACTCGTACATCACTTAACAAAGTATGAGCATCACAAACTGACAAAAGGTAAGAAGAATAGTATCACTATTTGTCAAATAAAAAGAAAATATGATTTACCACACTGAATTTCCACTCCTCCGATCATACGCTTATTTCTCCTGGATTCAACTGGTAAAATATAGAAATTTAGGAATAACAATTGTATAGTAAAAACTAATTGGATCGACGTTATCATATAAGTCAACATTTCTATTGTGACAGTCATCTGTTTAACGAGTAAAATATTTTTATAGTAACAAAACGTAGGTATGTAAATTAATCTTTACAATATCTATGAAAACAATCGTGACGATTCGTGATCGTTTACTTTAGCGTTCACTTTTGTATAAGCAGCTGTTTATTGGTAATATAGTGGCAGTAGTCTTAAACATAACACTATGATAAGCAAATGTTTTATTCATGGGCCGTAGAGTGATGTTGTAAGAATATCCATTACCTTATATCGTAACCATAGTTATTGTAAGATATGTGCAGCAACGTAAACAAAATATTGCGGTTTTCATAGCGTCTGCCAAGCGTGGTATTTATGGATGACCTCCTCATAAATTGCCTCATAGGGGATTTAGAGGAGCGTATTGACGCTTCTGAAGTTATGTGTTAAAAATTCTAGATTGTAAGAACCTTACCTAGCACTTAGCACTACTAATAGAAAACTGGGTGCACATAAATGGCTGTACTCTTTATTATGTGGACATCCCCCAGATATTGCCATTTCATAATAGATAAATAGAATAGAATCCATTCATAACTTTTATTGTGTAAAGTACTTTATTGTGTAAAGAATTATTCACAGAGGCATCATAATAAAAGGCCATAGCAAAATCAGGAAATGTTTTGTGGTTTTTTACCACTGTTGTCTTTGTTTAGCATTGACTAAAAGGAAACAAAAAGGTAGCGTCGTGTTCCATACTGTTGGTTTAAATTGGGTATACTTTGCGGTATCCTTTGCCAAATTTTACAAAAATTCGAGAACAGGTGATGCGAGCAGGTAAAATATGGAAATCGAATAACAATTGTATCCAATTAGTTTCTAATTAATTGGATCGACGTTATTACATAACCAGACATTACTGTTGTGACTGTATCCCGTCTAACGTATACAATGTTATTATAACAAGTAACTCTTAGATATATAATTTAATCTTTACAAAATTTAAATAAAATAAAATACACTAAAAATTAAAAAAAAAATCGAGAACTGACGGTGCCAATTCACCAAATCTTCATTGCATTTTCTATAAAGTTTTCTTTCTCATTACCACTCGTGGCCTAAATATTTTTTCGCTTATTCTTGCGACTTTACATAATCATTAATATCATAGACCAAATGGTTAATTTGTTTTTCTTTAACATAACTTAGTTATTAGTCAACTTAATATTTATTATACCATTTCTTCCCATGTCTATTTTTATTAAAAATCACTCTCAATAAGAGTCAATCACACTCTCAGTAAGAGGATATTTGAAATAAATTATTCTTTTATATACCCCGATGAAATCGGTCGGTTTTTATAATAAATAATTTAATAATTTGAAATAAATATTGTAAAACAAGTACAAGTGTTTATCTAAAACCACAAAAAAAGTTTATTAAATTGGGAGGTATCTTTAAGCTGAAGTGAAGCAAAGAAATGCACGAATTGAACTAGAGAACTACTTGACTTCTCATACTCATGTATTACTGAATACATACTGATGATTTATTTTCAAAAATACAAATATTTTCTTTTTAAACAGGAATTGGGCTATCATAGTAAACATAGACTTTATCAACGATAATTAATTAACTGGTATCATTAACTTTTAATTGTCATTTAAGAAAAAATTAAATAACCGAAGTTTTCATTTCATGCCGAAAGAGTAAATAGCTCTTATGGGAAATAAAAATAGTTTCTAAATTAGCAGCATTTCCCCATAGCAAAATCTCATAAGACGTTATGTTATGGAAATACTGAAATAAACTAATCTTTTTTACAGCATAAACTACAGAGCTTAGTCTACTTGCTAGTTTAGATACTCGTATATGGGGGGCCCACTGAAGCTTTGCCTCAAGATAGAGTGATTTTCCTTGTAGTCAAAACACGTCAAAATACTGATTTTAGGACCCATTTTGCCTCAAGGCAAGTTTTTTATTTTGAGACATGAGGTGTACGTGCCCCGAGACAAGCGAGTATAACACATCCCAGTGATCGGTTGGTGTCAGTCCGACCGCTCCAGTGTATTTGGGTGATTTTGCGTGCGATATCGAGTAGGTATTAAATGTAATCTATGCAAGACTTAGTTTTACATTACGCACACCTAGATCTAAACAGCGATTAACTCAAAAAATCATTTTTTTCAGAAAAGGTGACAAACTGATTACAGTATCCCTGTGCCGCGCAAGAGTTTTCTGAATTGATCAAATCTTTTTAAATGCAAATAGAGGAAAGATGTCATAATGAATCATGTATTTTAATCATAATTGAGTCTGAAAATTGGAGTTTTGTAGTTATTTCCGTATTGCTTAAAAAATGTATGTATATATTTTTTTATTTGGAGTTGAACCTGTGTTGGTGAATTAAGTTCCTAGTTGGCTCCCTTTTGAAGAGTCAATATTAATTTAAATATAGCAGCATTTAGAATTAATTCAATAAAAATCCAACTGATAGAGGGGTCAGTGACCAGCAGTAGGGGTATATTGGTTGATGACTTAGCAAGAAAACACTAAATTATGTAATCAAATCAAATATTTTTTATTAATAATATACACCTATACCTAATATTTTCTATAAAAAAATACAGCCTCTTATGACCCTTAATTACCTAGTAGGTTCAAATAAAATTATCATAATAAAATAGTAACATAACATAAACATAATGAGGAACCTTCCCTTCCATGAAATACTATTTTAAATACTCATCTAAAATCACATTTGACTTATTAAGTATGACATTTCTCTATTATCAACAAAAAAGCTAAACTATGCCTTTAAATATTAATAATGGCACTTTGAGATCATCATTAACAACAAAAATTTTGGTTTTTTGCTATTTATCAGTAACATTTTTTTGTTATATATATTCTTAGTAGGTAGTTAAGAATGCAAACAATTCAATAAGAATAAAGCAGTCAATTATCAGTATCACCCAAAACATATTTATAATAAACATCATAATAGGATTTCGGAATGACGTTCTTATCAATCAATTCTTTTATGTCTTTTTTTTTGCATCAGACAATGAAATTTTTTCAGTGTATGCATGTGTTAAACCAATTGAAAATAACGATTGATCTATAGCTATGGCCGATCCGGATCCTCTTACGCGAAGAATCCTCTTTCGCACACAAACTGTCTTAAACGTTTCCTCTGTAAATGATGTTTTATAGAAAAACGCTTCAGGGTGATCTTTTTCAACCCTAAGAACCTTTAAGTCATGCCACTTGACTTGATTTCTCTCTTCGTCTGTATTGAAATTTGTGCCCCACGTTTCTTGCAAAGCTTTAACATCATAAAACTTGTCATGCGTCATTTCTACGACTGTGTAAGGTTTTCCAGTCTTTTTTGCTGTACCAATCAACGTTTTATATTGCTCTGGTATATAGATTGGACCCGACTGCACGTATCTTTTAATTTGTTTCTCAATGACACTATGGACGTTGTCACCTTCATTTTGTGAGTGTCCACGTAGTAAAAACTTGTGAGTAATAGACTTGACTCTTAACTTGTTGACAGCGTAGGCATAGGCAGACAACAGAAACTTATTTTTTTGTTGACCGCCACAATTGTCCGAGTAGAAAATTATTTCAATTTCTTTATTAGGATTTTGGTCTACCTGAGCTTTAACGTAGTCGAGTATGCAGCTGCCAATTTCAATAGGTCCTCTCTTTCCTTCGGTTTCATCCCAAAAGTAACACATAACTTCTTTTGCCCTTAAATCGCTGATGGTAAAATTGAAACAGTTGATCCTGGATTTATAAAAAAATAGTGATATTTGTCCCTTTGGAATCTGCAAAACTGCCTGCAAGTCGTAAACTGCTACGATAGTACCATCGGCCCTACTTTTATCACTATCTTTTTCAGTTCTTGCCAAAACTTTTTCATTCTGATGCTGTTCATACTCTTGGCTTAAGTTGCGTTTTTCTTCTGAGTCTGAATTCTTATACCTTTCGCACAGATCGCATTGATCTTTTTTTGGTACAAAAAAAGAAATGTTGAATTCAGTGTTGAATATCCTGTTGAATGTGGAAGACGTGGCAATAGCTAAACCATCCTTTTCACGAAGTTGTTTGTAATCTCTGTAGATATCCGCCAATGATTTCTCACTTGAAATATGCTGTCTTTTCGTTTGAGCTCTCAAGTAGTGAGACTCAATCTTTGGAATAGAATTTATAAAATCAATAACGCTCTGTTTGATTTGTGGATCAATAGTTGGTTGATGGCCGTGTTTTCCTCTCAAATCTCCTTGTATGACTCCCGATTCGGAGACCTTGGAAAGTGCCGTTTGTATAGCTTTATAACTCAACCCGAGAGTCGATTTGAAAAACGGTTTGCAAACTCTAATTTTGGATCCAGCAACCTCAAAATAAAACGCAGTGTTAAGAGCTCTAAAATCTTGTGTGCTTGAGTATCGATATTTAGGTTTTATTTTTTGTGAGTGTCGCACTATAAATTCTCTCTGCCTTTCAAGATTGCCGAGTCCCCAAAATGCATCAAAAAGCTGTTGCCTTGATATTTCATTGATCTTATCTTTACATTTTAGCCGACATTTTTCTCCACAGGGGAGGCCGACTTTTCTCTCTGGCACTTGTAATTTTGATTTTGACATAGTGGTACCATGTCAAAATCAAAATTACACTGGTAGGCTTTACCAGAATTTTTCAGCACTTTCGCAACTTTCGATTTCCACATCGTTGGTTTTCGTACCCTCTTTTTACCCTTTTTTTCTTCTATAACGAGCTCTTGGCAATTAATTTCCGCTACCGTAGTATCTTAAGGGTCAAGCTGTAAATGCGCACTATCATCTTCGGTGTCTGACGAGCTATTAGAACGTGATGAGCTCTTAGAGCTACTACTGCTGGTGCTGGATGAAGACAGCAATGAACCAAAAGGTACGATCTGAGATAGTGTCTTACTTTTATTAATCCATTGGAAATTGGGATCCTCACCTGAGTCATCAAAATCACTTTGGTCACTTTGGATTGGTGAAATATAATAATTTGGTGTACTAGCCTGCTGTTGTTTAGATGTGCTCGGAATAGATTTACCATCCACGGATAAGGCTGCATGAGTTTCGTTAGATGAATCTCTCTCATTTTGTATTATTGGTTCAAACTCCTGTCTAGTATCTGGTTGGGTTAGTAAGCTAGGGCTGATGTTTTCTTTGTACCTTTCTTCAACCATGTTTACTAAAAACCGTCCACGATTCATTATTTTTCTGAAATAGTAAAAGAAAACAAATAAACCATCTAAACAGCTCTAACTTAAAAACTGTTCAGTAAAAACACAAAAAACTGTGTAGTTACTAGCATAAAAATAAAATATTATTAAGATGAGCAGACTCCAATCGCCACTGGCAAAAAAGTTCAATTTCATTTGTTTTCTAAAGAAACATACGAGTTTAAAAATGACTCAACAAAACAGGCTTAACTACAAATTCAAAAAATTTATAACAACATGGTAACAATTCAAAATAAAAACAAAAACATTGCCTACCTTACTATCAACACTGGCTCAACTCAAAATGTAGCTTTTATTTACTCAGCACTAACCATAAAAACAGCGACAACTCAAAATAATGTTAAGTCAAAACCTTTGTTTAACTCAAGAACACGGAATCAACTCAAAATAACTCCGATTTGTTTACAACGGGCACGTGCGTTCCGCATAAAATACTGGTTACAACTAGCGATGTCCCTGTTTTAGTGGGGGAAAGCGTGGCTCGCTCGTTCAACAAAATGGGCTTTTAACGTCATCTAGCGTTGAGTAATAGAACTATTTTTGAATCGGTTTTATTGGGTGCTTGGTAGTGAGTTATTTAATTCGATGGAAAACGTAACTCAAAAAATGAGATTTTTGAATTAGCTCTCTTTAGATCTAGGTGTGCGATTTACATATTTATAAACTAGTATGTGTGGTAATCCCATATAGATAGATATATGTATATATAATATAGTAACAAAAAAAAGTATTTTATTATATTATTTTTTAAAGTATTTGTTTTATAGGGTTTTCTGATTTCATGTAAAAAAAATTTAAAGATTAAGATTAAGACTACACATCGATAAAGTGGCTCTGGGCTATCGCCGTACTGATCCGAGTGAATACATAATTTCTATAAAAACTTAAAAAAACGCCGTAATATGGCCTAAAATTGCGTAGCGCCCGCAAAGATTAAGACGGCTTAGAAATTGTTACAATCTTAAAATATTTAAAATTTAAATATAAAAATAAAATTATTGATTTAAGTAATCAAAATAATGAGCAAGCACATTATGAATATTGATGTTATGAATATATTTGAGTGATTCCCAAGAATATAGATTAAGTAATTTCGTTGTAATTTCAAATATAGTGATTTTTAGAGGCGTCTTTGCACATAATTATGATTCAGTCAAAATTGTACAATCGTGTTTTGAACAAGCAAATTCGAGATAAAGACATGAATGTAGTAGACCTTATTAATCCTGCTGAAAACATTTTCTTGCAAACCTCGCAATATAAATACTTCTTAATGGCCGCATTTCTATAGCATTAATTTTACTCTTATAATTCTACTACATCGAAGTCTCACCCAATTCTACCATAAATTTTATCATATGTACAAGTTTGCTGCTATTGTCGAAATATCGTGGTTTCAAATTCCAAGCTTTCGCTTGTGACCTAAGAGTACCTAATACAAACGTTTTCTTTCTGGAAGTCGTATAAAATCAGTTTCAGTCTTTAATGAATGATATAAGTTTTATTATAAACTAACAAACAAGAAAACTATAACCGATGAGAAGAAGAAGGTCTCTACCAGGCAACTGTAATGGGAGGTCACTTAGTATTTAGCATATAATTCTTAAAATGTTAATTTGCAATTGCTATTCTATACATTTATCCATCTATTCATAACAATTTGAAAATTGAGTCGTGGTAGCTCAGATGGTTAACGCTCGCTGTAAATATAACAGAACGCGAGTAACTCGGATTGGATCCCCGCCGGCACCAATGAAATTGTTAATTGCAATTTTAAATGCTGATTTACTACGTGCTCCGCGGTGAAGGAAAACATTGTGAGGAAACCTGCATGTCTGAGGAATAAGGAAAAAAAATTATTTCGAATACATGTGAAGTTCGCCAACACGCATTAGAGCAGCGCGGCGGACACTTCCTTGCCCTAAAACCCTCTCAGAAATGAGGGGAGGCCTGTGCCCAGCAGTGTGACGTATATAGGCTGTAACTTTACTTTACTTTTTTACTTTTATTCATTACAACCTTTACAAGTCCACTACTGCACATAAGTCTCCCCATATATTGTCTTACAATTCTCCCTGATTTTGCCACACTTACCAAGCTTGGCAGGGGGGTTGGCCGCGCACGGCGCTACTTTCAGTTTCCCTCCGTCGCCTGTGCCACACGGGAACCGTTTTCTTACATCGCCACTACATGAATACCATTTGAAGTAGAAGCAACATAACAATTTTTTTTGTAAGTTGTGCCATTTTTAATTGAATTTGCAAAACGATAAAATAAAGTGTAAAACAGTAAATTTTAGCATAATAAAGAAACGCACTAAATTCACCTCGGCCGCAAGTAGAGGTGATTGCGTTTGAAATAGCCTGTCTATAATTATTTAGTGTTATTGTTGTGGGACTTGTACTCGTGGGTTGCATGTGACGCCAGAACGCAGCGACAACAGACAGGTGGGAAGCGAGTAGCGGGCGAGGTTTATGTAACGCGAGGGCGCAGTATCCCGCCGACCGCCGTGAAACGCCGGGTGCGGCAAACCGCGATGGACCGCGCGAGCGGCGGCCCGCCGACTCTGCCCGCGCACTCCGGCTTCGGCGCTTTCTGCAGCGCCATCTCCGATACGCTCTCGGTACGTACCAGGAGCGATTGTCGCACCCTCGCGCTCGTTACTTGCGACGCTACCCAAACGACGTTTTGGCGCCAACGTTTCATTCTTTCCGCCCATGAATTCCGAAGCCATAAGTGTCGCGTAAAAAGCTTTATTTCAAAGCACGTGGTCGTGAAGGTCGTTCGGTACCTGTACTCAGCATGAACGTGTGACTATGCAAACCGGAATAATTCACTAGGAGGGAATAAAAAATATAAACAAGTTTATTATTAGAGTGCTCGGTCGGACCGGGTCGCACGGCCGTGATTTGTCCGATGGCTGTGATATACCGAAATACCCGCGCAATAAACGCACCGCACGACGACGTACAAAGGCCGAGCGTGACATCGGGCACTCGTGCGAACTCTGCAAGTCGGTTACCACGGCCAGCAACACGCGTTCGCTTTGCAGAGTACAATATTACCGCTTAGCGTCGCGTTCCTGCTTCTCTTACTTCAACGCCTACCTTCGCTATAATAGGTATTATAACAGTTTAGTAGTATTTTGTACATCAAATTCCATCCATATCCATATAAATATTTTTCGAAATCCTAAAAAAAAAAACGTAAAATTACTCATATACAAAGTGTTCTCGTAACTTGTTGATTATTGTTGTATTACTATAAAGATTAATTTGATATGGTCTATACTCAAATAATTGCTTTGAAGTTAGGAGTCGTTTAATTAGATGGTTTGCTTAAAAGATTGGCTATAACTACGCGCGGTACAGCATGTTTGTTTTCATTGCAACTTGTGTGAATTGCGTTTAGTATTCAAGTGTTTGTAAACTAGGTGTACGAGTTTATAGTATTAATGTGATAAAGTAATAACTGAACGATTATACTTAAAAAAGAGCGATAGCTTGAGTAAGAAAGCAAGATATACAGTTAGATTTACTTTAGCTAGCATCAGTCTCTATCTATAAGTGTTAAAAATTAAATATCTCATCTAACAAATAAAATGTGCCTTTTTTTAAATGAAACATGTCAACGATTTCGTTTGTTTTATTTAACTTTTTCTGTGATTGCTATTGTACTAAAATTAGTGATGTTACCTACTCATATATCTACCATTAACCGTAAAGTGTAATGTCCTTTCGACCAATACAGCTGATAGCGATAATATTCAAGTGTTTTAGGTTGAAAACATTGGGAGCCAACGCTTTTAGTGATCGTGTTTGAATGTGGTGCATAGCGATGCACAGCATGACCCGAGTCTTTAAAGCTTTTTAATATATAATAATTTGAAGTAAGTGCTATTTTAATAACCATTAAAATTTAGATGGAGTTTTTCAAGAACAAATCGGACGTATTACCTAATTAATAAAAAGTACGATATTATGATAAAGACTATGATTATATATGATAAATACTATTATTATTATAAATTAAACCTAAAAAACCTCATCAAAGTATAATAATCTGTTAACTTATAATGATGGCGAATTCCGTCGGCTCTACCGGAGAAAGACAGCACTTTCACAGAACACCAGCGTGAAGCTTCATGCTATAGCATTCGTGTGGTGTAGAGAATCCGAGGCACTTTAATTTAAACCGGTAACGCGTCATTCTATCTTAGCCCTTCAGGGGTGACAACGTACACTTTGATTGTAATGGGAAACAAATGAATGTATCTATGGGTCATGACAGCTACTTACTATCACATGGACTGTTTGCTCGTTTGTCAACCTTATTCTATAAAAAAGAAAACTGGGATAACAACATTTAAGAGTGTTTTCTTTATAATTGCTTCGCAGATAGACAGCTGTTAAAGTGATGTTTATAAAGTAAATTTAGCTTACTAAAATTACGACTAAACGCAATCTATACCAGCCACAATACTGTCTTTATGTCTTTGCAACAATCATTACGATAATATTCATATTAATGAATGTTTATACGGCAGATGCTTAGTTCAATACAAGTTTCCTATGTTCAGCTGTGCACTTTTATGTACTGATGATGAAAAATAATGTTCTATAGTTAAGATCATTATTTTAAATTATTACTCTTTCAAAAACTAAAATTAACTCCTTTTAATTTTTTATGAATATAATACATAGAATTATTACTTTTATTATTCTAAGATTTGTGAAAAGCATCGTTAGCAATTCACTCATTTTTTTAAAGATGTACATTTTTTATGCTTCTAAACAGCTGTTAAGCCATTAGTCACATGACACAAGTTAAGATAAAAATTAATGCTTCTTAAATTTTTGTGTTGACGTTGTTAAACTACTTTACTGATATCGATGTTAACAAAAACGTTTAAGGTTGGGTAAACTACAAAAATACGTAAGTATTTATAGAACATATTTAAATATACATATTTAAATCATAACAATTTATGATATTATCTACTTACTTAGATCATTGTCATAAAACATAATTCAATTGTAGAATACACTACTTCGTGTGTACTTGATAGATGCTTGTAAGTTGTACATGCGTAACATTTTCATAAGCTCGCTTGTCATGGGCAAGGGCAATAGTAATGCAAGGTTGCTTCAACGTTAGGGTTTGACTTTGACCGTATCGACCTGCAAACACAATAATAAACTTATTCGATTTGCTTAAATAGCATTCCTTTGAATACAAAGTCTATTAATATTCTATGAAATTTTATTTTTAACCAACGCCAAATGAAAGAATATTTATGTATCTACGAGTTCTGAAAACTTTTAACCGCAATACCGTAACCTCGCAAATGTAAATTTATGTAGGTATGTCTTTGTTGACTTTAAAAGTATTCTTAACATTTTGCGTGATTAGATACCTACATAGTAGTAATACATATTAGATTTAGCCATTACTTAACCTCTGAGAGCAGCTCTGAGCCAGCTGTAGGACGTATAAAGGGTTTAACTTTACTTTTGGGCATTTTATTTCTTTAGTAATTTTTTTAGTAATATTTCATAAAGTATTTAAATAAATTACTTCTAAATGTTTTTTATGATTACCTTTTGACTAAGTCTTTGTAAACTTTAATATTAGTTGAAGTAATATTGCATTAACTGAAATATAATAAAATGATTATATAACCGCATTACATATAAACCTAAATAGAAAATATTAATCAAAACAGTGAAGTCGGAACAGAAGTATGGGTGCAATTTTCTTTCCAAAATTTCGAAATTTATTTTCAATCAAATATTCATGTATATAAACGTCTGAAAAACTTGCATAAGTTCTTTTAATTTACCGTTAAAATTCTAACAAATAATACTGAAACGTACATGAAGTGCTATAAAAGAGAATGATGAGTAATTTCAAATAGATTTTTTGAACGTTTGTAGCGGGAAATAGCCGTTGGACAGTGGTACTCATCATGCGGTACGGTTTTGAGATTATAAATAGAAGATAGGCAACTCGGCCACTGCTCCTGCTATTTCTGATTGAAACCTGTTCCGAAATCAAGAACACGACCAGGTTAATGTGACTTGTTTAGAGTACAAGTCGGCATAGTTGTGCTACACATCATGATGAGTTAGGAAAAATATTAATATATTCCATACTTCGAATATTTTGGTACTTGTTACCTTAATATTTTTATTTCCTCCCATTTTGTATATTTTAAATATGAAACCGTCTTTGATTAGTTTACAAAAATTTGAAAATCATTAAATAAATTTTGTATACATATTCTTTATATACTTTTATACGCATTAGAGTAAGAAATATTTATAACAAAATCATTTACCCTAACGAGCTTAACGGTCTGAAATACACAATTTAATTACTCTGAAACGTAATTAAATTGTGTATGCTAAGTGACTGATACAACATATGAACAAGTCTTGTGGGGTTACAACTAAAAAAATGCATCGTGCTTTTAATACGTAGGGATTACACCCCTAAACCTAAAATCGGGTGATAATACGCGTACAGAAAACAGATGTGTGGTTTTATTTTATAATTACAAACTCAATAAGAATTATAGTTTTACTTTTAGTGGGTAACGTCGGAACGCTTCGGAGAAATATTTAACACGTTTCCTCCAAGAATCATTTGGAGAATTGCCAATATAAAAAGAAAATACCGAGTTACGTGTTGCTACGATAACCATGCGACAAAATGTGGACAGTCTATAGAAGAAGCCTAAGCTAAGAAGTGGAATTTTGATAGAATGCAATGGAAGATGAATGAATTGTTCCTCTGCTATTTACTTTACTAGATAAAAATTACCAGAAGGGATATTTTTACCGTGAAAAGTAAAAGTTATGGTAGAAAAATTAACAAAAAGGCCTTTCATTAATAATGACGTCAGATTGCAATCAAAACAATCAAACGTAAAACTATGTTGTAATACTCCTTATCTATCTAGGAATCCATCTGCGAAGGTACCAGCCTCTTATTTATTTCTGTAGTCAAATACAGCGCCAGAACCGAGCAATGCAATGCTGTGTTCCGTGCTGAAGGGTATAGAGCGCCAGAATTATTATGAAGCCGGCTTCGTTTGAAGTTGGCTGCAGGTGTCCATAGATGGGCTGCAGTAAACACTTACCATCTGGTAAACTGTAAGTTTGATTATCACTTCAGTTTTACTAAAAAAAACATCAAGTACATTGAGTTTAACACCAACTAGGTACATCGAGCTTAAAGGCGACACCGCGAAAAAATGCACCTCCTTTAATCGAATAGTATAGGAGTAACACCACTAACGAAACTCAAATTTTGATATAGGTATATATATCCTTACTTTTAATTTGCTTGTTCAAAAACACGATTGTATAATTTTGACTCGATCATAATTATTTGCAAAAACACCTCTAAAAATCACTATAATTGAAATTACAATGAAATGAGTCTATATACACTTGGGAATCACTCAAATATATTTATAACATCAATATTCGTAATTTACTTGCTCATTATTTTGATTAATTAAATCAATAATTTTTAAAATTATTTTAAAATTTTGACAACTTCTATAAGCGGTCTTCGTCGCGTCGCGGGCGCTACGCAATTTTAGACCTTATGGCGGCGTTTTTTAAGTTTTTATAGAAATAATGTACTCACTCTGAACAATCCGGCGATAACCCGGAGCCATTTTAAACGTTCATATTCGATGTGTCGTATTAAGTATTAACCGTA